CAGGTGGTCCAATAGGACCTGCAATTTTGCACTGAGTCACGCCAACGGTATCTTACTGCTATATGGTCGACTTGAGTCTTCGTGAAGTTGGTAATGGATTGGGAAAGACACGAAGGGAAACAGTATTCGTTCTAGGGATAAGGAGCTAGAAAACCACGGAAACCGTTCCAGTTGGCTGAGTTTCAATGCCATAACTTGGGTCTCAAGTTGGGTGGTGGCTCGGAGTTTGAAAACCTAATAGAACAGCGATCTGATGAGTCAAGAGAAGAGAGGGTATCAATGTGTGAGAAGAAAGAAGGGACCGAAGTGAGAATTAGATCGAGGGTGTGGACACGATCGCCAGCTCGATCAGGGACACGTGTAGGGAGCTCAACTAGTTAGCTCAGGTTGTTGACCAAAGCGAAGTGTTCGGCTTCGCGCCCCAAAGGAGAAGTAGCAGATGAATGTATCAACCAATCCTGATTGTGAACGTTGAAATCTCCCAAGATGGTAACATAACAGTTGGGGTCGGTTGCAAACAAATGTTCAATGTTCGAAGATAGAACATCGAAGAGTCGCCGCTATTGGAGGAACGATAAAGAACACAAAATTAATGATTAAAGGAAGGAAGTCGGAGTTTCAGCTACAACAACCTTTCCTTGAGAAAGGTTATCAACGGTAACCGAAACGTCGGCAAATATAATTCTCAAACAACATCGTTGTGTTCTTAACATTACAACGCTCACAAAGGAGAGTGTATTTGGGGAATTGAAGGTGGGTGGTGTCTGACGAGGGGGAGATTTGTGTTTCGGTCAAAAAAGGGGGAGCGAAGAAGAATGAAGAAAGTGGTGTACAGAATCAATATTGCGGTTCAGTCCGCGAATGTTGGTGAGGGTGATGAGTGCGTGTTTACAGTCTGAGTGCATAGAGCGAGCGCGAGTACGTGAGCGTTCGTGATTTTGTATATTTATGTTCATGTTGTGAGGAAACCGGCAACCATGATCCTGAAACTTGGAGTGGCGGACCACATAAGATTGCAACAGATCAGGCGTGGTAGTGAGCCGGGAGAAGGCAGAGCCGCCTATCACCTACTTCAAGAACTCCGGAGTTGTTGACTGAGTGTTTAGATGAAGAATTCCCCAATCTGGTGGCTTGTATTTTATCAGTGAAGCAGTGGGACAGCCAAACTAACAATTACGTGGGGCATTCAAACGATTCCAGTTTTAGTAACAACTTTGATCGAGGAACGGAATCAAATGCTGAAGACGTAACAGAGTTGTTCAAAGACTTAGTGAAAAAATGAATGAGGGTGAAGGCTACGTCCATTAGGCTTGTAAACTGTAAAGGATCATTGGGAATGTTCATAGATTGCTTGAGGCGTTTGAGGATAGCCTTGTTAGTCAACTTAAGAGCTGAACACGCTAACGCTGTGTTTCGCCACCCCAAGTCCCGGATTTCAGGTTAGGGTTTCCATCACTGAAAAACAGGTCTTCGTGACTACGAGGGTTTGCCCCGTCTGCTGTTCATCAAACCAATGTGTGCAAAAAACTGCTGCGAAGTGAACCAGTGGTCGCGTCGACGAAAGTCACCCAACCAGCTTGCCTATTCCTGTCCGACTCCTTTTTACACTGCTTTGTATCCCAACCCCCCCCCTCCGTTTTCCGTTTTTCTTGATGTTGCGTTGGCACCAAGCTTGCTCCCATACCGGTGGTAAATAATATAACAAAACCCCATCAGCTTGAAAAGAATAGAGAGAAGCCCATCAGGAGGTACCGCTGTCTTACGTTAGTGATTGGATTCAGCCTCGTACACAAGCAAAGTTTCTTGGCGAATGCGTCGCACATTTAATTAGATCCCACAACTGATCCACTTCGCGGTGCTCCTAGCTCCTATTTAAGCTTCTCCTTATAACGTGCTAATCGAGGAGGCGATTTCTGGCGATGAGCGCGAAGCGGATCAGAACCAGTGCACAGTCAAACTCAACGCAGATGCTCCAATCGGATTTGCAATTTCTTACCGAACCACGCCAACAGTAGCTTACTGCTATGTGGTCAATTTGGGACAACTTGCCCGTTGAACTATAGAACTATAGAACACCGCGAGAGCTGTGTCACAATTTGGTGATAGATAAGGACAACAGATGATCTGCGCAGAAGTGAAGTATTTGAGTACTAGAGTTATACATATATATATTTAACACCAATCTCTACAGATACAGCGCCAAACATCAAGTTAATTAATATTAAATTGTCCGTAAACATTTTGTGAAGCCTCTGTAAAACTAGGGCTAGATGAACCAAAAATCCGCAAAACGCCTTTTCAGATTCATTAGAAACTTCTCACTTCAAAATAACAAAAAGAATATGCATGGAACTAAAGGAAAACAATGACTGCATTTCGAATATACTATAGTAAATCGAAGTTATCCCATTCGAATTGTGTACAATGAGGTTCCACAAAAACTCAAAAGAATCTCACCCTCTCATCAACATCATCCTCATTATTTTCAGTTGAGGAAGCAACTCTAGTAGTCATGATGACCTAGTCTTCAGTGATGTGAGCAGCACACCTGTAGGCCCTCTTGAAAAACTCATTGCGATGTTGCTTCGAGTGACAGTGAAACGACTTATCACTTAATTTGAGTAGTGATGGTCTTGACCTGAACTATACAGTCCAAAAGAAACCACTAATAACCAATCAAAACGGATGTTCGCTACTGCCACAAGCGAAAAATCGATAAGCATGACTATTCGGCGTTTTACTTAGTTGTGCTCCTAATGAATCACACATTAGTACTTTATGGCGTTCGTAAATCAGGGAGTACATCAAGAGAGACGAATAAAGAACAATAATAATTTCAGAAATAAACCTACAGGAAAATGGGATTCATCCCCGTGATGTTGAGTTCGGCTGGCAGATAACGACAAATGAAGTAGATCCATTTAACTAGATCATCCAATCGATATCGATGGGGGCCGACTGCCTCATATATTTGTCCGGGAGCATCTGGTGCGGTCAAACTGTTCACAATCCCGCGAGCAACATCCCCGACGTAAACTGGTTGTTTGATGGTTTTCATCCCGCGCCCCCACAGAGGAACGTCAACCACCCGTCCAATACCAAATCGGCGAGCTGAAGAAGAAAATCGTGAAGATGAAATATATGAAAAGCTTAAAGGCAAAAACCTGACTTCTTCGCAATTGATTTGGGACCTTAAGGCGACAAGTCAAACAAAGTGGACAGAAAACGGCGTTTTAATCCCACAAGGCTGTGAACGTTAATGCAACGACTGCGACTAGAATGATTTGATCACACCGTAAGTCTGATAACGACCTGAGCAAGTCTGCCTTGACACCACCACTTTGCCCGAGATGGCGTTGTGGTGGTCAGCTGAAAACCTGGCTAGACACGATAAGCAAGGATAAAGAAAACCTTGCTCTTCGCTTCGTTTACGGCAAACTCTAATGGAAGTCAAGCTGGATCGCAATCTGCGCTGATCTTGCAGCAGACCACCGAGCGTGAGAAGCGGCAATTCAGGATATCCATGAATCCGGCTGATCCTCTCCCAGGAGCCAACCGCCGTAGAGTAAGGTTTCTGCACGGTCGTACACAATCCGCGCTATAAATTACTACGCCTTTTGCTCACCCTCTTTAGAGCAAGAGTTGGGAATGCCTCGGCATCGTCTCTCCCCCTCTAACAATTTACCTTTGGATCATGGGGTTTATTCTTTTTACTGTAAGTCACTATCCTGTAAAGCGGAATATCCAAGTTAGTAAGCTGAACAAGACGAATATCACGAGGTAAACTACAACAAAATTTGATGTTCGCTCTTCAAATTACAAGGGAACCTAGAAACCGCTCAAATGCTTCTGGGAAAGAATAATAGTGACATTCTTAGCCAGGCTCCCTTACTCAACCCTTAAGGATATCACTTCCGATCATTAACAAAATATGGTAGTACAATGGCAGCATGAACGGAAAGTTCAGTCTGCATTACACGATTGCTGATATGAAGATAAGTTTAAAAAACAAGCAACCACACGTGAAAACATACGCTTTGCAGCATAATAGCATAAAAATCTATCCATTTCACCCCACATATCAGCTGGGCGGAATATGATAGCGTCCGGACGTTCTCGCTTAACTTCCATTTCGCCAACGGCTTTGGACATCATGAAGCGAGAAGGTGCACGTACATATCTCGGTGGTTTTCGATTCTGACATAAGGCGGAAATGTGAACTAAACGCTCCACACCGAGCTCTCTTGAGATACGTGCAATCCTGGCAGCCCCATCCACGTGCACCTGCTCCAGTTTGAAGTTACGAGTGTCGGTTTCTTTTCCAATTAGGTTGATCACCACATCGCTGTAACGCATCGATTTTCGTAAACTCTCCTCATCTTCCAGATGAAATGGCTGGAATAAGACATGGCAGTGTAGAGCGTTGAAAAATTAGTCCCCTGACAATTTCTACAATGTCACTTACAGTTCAAAGTAGTTTATCAATTTTATGGTCAAAAACGTTTAATTCAATGTTTGCTATTGAGGGTGACAAAACGTGTACGACCACTCCCCGAAAAAAGACAAACATAAATAAGTAATAAAACAGCCCAGGCAGAAAATCTTTATATAAATATACAGTTTGAAGAAGTCTGCGGTCGTGGTATGTGTACTTGGTCCTTGAACCTAGCAGTGGGTCTTTACGGCCTGAATCTTACCCACTGGACGGCATGCAATACATTGCTTGGTGGACTTGCACAGAACAGAGTTTCTGAGAGCAAGCAATCGAGATATTACGTTCCCGTAAAATGTTATTTCATCGCTGATCCACTTTGATAATTTTGTTTTCCAAGTACATTCTGCAAGTGATTGACATACTAAAATATCATGCGATAATCGGATACATTTGACGCCTCAGCAAAAATTAAATTCAAAATCCCCAATGGTGAACTGAGTCAAACGCTCTATTTAAATTAATTGCGAGACCGGCAAGATGTGAAAGACATCGAGTTGGAGATGAAAGGTCACCTTCAAAACCCTCAGTATGGTAAGCGGTATGTGCCATGGGTTGTGGCTGGTCACCCTTCCCTTGCACTTCGTGAAATGCTACAGTACGACCGAGCGTCCCAAATAGCTTCTTCTGAGGAAGTTCTACCCACTGCCTTTTCGTGGTGGAGGTGTTTTCCAACCAAAGTGAGAGGACGAGAAGCCGAATCCCGGGGCTATAACCCAGTTTGTGAACCTTTCGCAGTCCATCTAGGGGAGTTGGCTAAAAACCCTGATTCGAAAACAACCAAGAGGAAGCGTACAAAACACACACTTTCCAGGTTATGGCAGTGCCCATCGGCTTNATATCCAGAGTTTGGCGAAGAGTGAAGATGTGGTCGATACAATTTCGACCAAGCCTAAAACCACCCTGGTTCTAACGCGTGCATACTTCACATGAAGCCAACGAACCATCAACATCTTTCTCATCATGATAGGGGTCACCCAGTCGATTGGATATATTCATAAACCTGATCGTACAGCGAAATACAGTGAAGCGAACTTCACGGATCGCTGCCAAACCCGCAATGCATACAAGATTAGTAGTAAAATTGAAGGTGGAAAGGAATTGGACCTACTTTGAGGGGAGGAGAAGAAGGTGAACCACTATGGTCAACACAGAGTACGCAATCGAACTCTGCATACATACTGTTTCAAGCATTCTGATCTGATAAGAAACGACAACAAGAACGCCACTGCTACCGGTTCGAAGCCATATCCTTTAATGTCTCCAACCAAACAGTTGCGAAGTCTTTCGCACTCCAACCTGGAAGGCGAGAGACACCTACTCTACCTAATGGCTCTGTGCATTTCTTCATGCCTCGTCTCCACGTCATCTGTTGACCTCCACGTGGTTTCCTCCGGCCTGGATTAGCTACAGCGAATAAAGCGCGGTGCGGCAGACGACGGCTGGGCATACGCAATATGTGCCGTAGCCAGCGAAGTTTACTAATTTGAATTCGGTGTGCTAGCAGGTTTATACCTGATAGACTCTCAAACACACGACGGATTACCTCCACGTTACTAACCCGCTCGCTCCATCCCACGGGAGCTAAACTGAGTAAACACCGATAAACGAAAACCTCTAATCGATGGATATCTTCGACTCGCAAATTCAAGGTCCCACAACCATAAAGCAGGATCGAACGAACGACAGCACAATATACACGACCTTTCAATATCAGTGAAACGTCGCGTCTAAGCCAAAGGTGTATCAGTCCTGCTTATGCTGCTCGAGCCTACGAAATGCGGGCGGTTATCTCTTTTGCTGCGTTACCGTCATTGGTCACGCAACTCGTTGGTCTATCAAGTGCGCTTTGCGCGTCCTCCATACATTCAAACAGATAGACAATGTCATCGACGTATTCTAAATCGCACAGCTTTTCTCCAGCTGCCCATTCAATACCTACGTTTTGGAGACCACTTAGTGCGTTCTCCAGCATGTCGTCTACGACGAAATTGAACAGGAACGGTGAAAAAGGGCATCCTTGACGGACGCCGCTGCTGGTGACGAACGGCCTACTTAGTTTATCATAGACCCTTACACGATCAGAGGTATGCGAGTACAGTGACCTCATTAAGTTAACGTACTTCTGGGGCATTCCTTTTCGAAGAAGGGAACCTATCAGAGCTTCGCGAGCAACTGAGCCGAAGGCTCCTTTCAGGACAAGGAACACTGTGATCGTTGGTCGGTGGTGGGTGTGACGCAGCTCAAGGACCTGACGCAACGTAAAAATTTGATCAATACATTCAAAGTCAAGCCGGAATCCGGCTTGCTGTTTACATATGTTGGTCTCTCTTAAAGGAGTCAGGCGTCGAAGTATAACCGAAGCTAGCACTTTGGTGATGAGCGGGATCAAACTGATCCCGCAGTGGTTTTCGCCATTGTTGCGAAATCCTTTCTCGAAAATGGGAACGATTAGTGACTCGCCCCAAGATGAAGGAATGTGTTCTTGCGTCCAAATGTTGCGCAGTAAAGTAGTAATACAGCTTACGAGGTTACCACCCCCATCTTGAAGAGTGGGAGAAAGCTCATCTGGTCCTGCTGCCTCGCTTCAGAGCTTGAATGCAAGACCGAACTGCTGCTTCCGTTGGCACGACGGTGCCCAAGGAGCTTCAGTTACGGATGAGACAACCTGATTAGCACTAGGCCAGCTGGACTGTTCGCTGAAGTATTCTATCCTGCGATCAAGTCGTTGATCCCTATTGTGAATAGCTTATCCCACCTTATCACAGACTGTTTCACTAACTGCAGTCCGCCGATCTCCCGTACTGCGTAGCAGTGCCTGACTATTCCCTGATGCCGCTGCTACTTCCATTTCACCAGCTATTGTTGCTCAAGAGTTCTCACGATCCTTCTTGAAGCTCTTCGTAAGTTGACGTTGTAGATGCCACCTAACTCTGTTTTGATCCTGGCAGGTCGGGACTTGTCGTTTTTTCTCCATCAGGGCTACTGACTCCTGAGATATCCAATGCCACCGACGGGCTTGAGGCTCAGATCTAAAAGCAACATTCACTGCGCAATGCATTGCTCGCCTAATCTGATAACAATGCTCGTCTACATCACCACGTTGAGGCGCACTTAGCTTACGCACTAGCTCTGACTCATAGAGTGCATGAACTGCTGGAACAGATAGTTGATGATGAGCTATCCGAGTTTTCTGGTTTTGTCGCCGACCAGTCAGTCGGAGAGTGAACTGCATCAAAACTAATGCGTGGTCAGACTCAACGCAGGTGGTCCAATAGGACCTGCAATTTTGCACTGAGTCACACCAACGGTATCTTACTGCTATATGGTCGACTTGAGTTTGCTTACCAGTTGAATTGAAACGCCTCGTTGTCGTCTGCCGAGAGCTGTCGGCAGTTGATACAAGATAAGAGCAGATTATGTCCCGCGCAGAACTGAAGAAGTTAATCACTGTTATCTGTGCGTTGGCAGGGCAGAGCACATCTACCGCCTAGACAAGCTTCTGATGCGCTGTTTTCCTACTGATGCGTTAAAGTCACCTGGAAGTACAACTATGTCGGAGCTTCGACTCAGTCGCATGAGATCGATGAGTTCATCGTAAAAAGCGTCCTTTTGGGTATCAGAACTGCAATTGGTTGATGCATATGCCAATAGAATGAACAAACACCTTTTGGTGTTGCTTCCCTTCCGGACAATGATTGAACCCTGGAGACGCCATGCACATAAACGAGTGTTGATGGAGATCTAGTCGATAAGAGAGGATTCCGTCCTGCTACTGAGTACAATACCTAACCTGCACTGACCTACTGAACGAGCTTCATTGTCACCCGGTGTGCGATGAACGCATATCGTAGACAAATCTGGCGCGCTTAAGGGACTTATGGTAGTAGGATCCTGGATTCGAGTTTCCGACACAGCAATTATCGATACCTAAGGATTTCCGTTGTACGCGCCAGATAAGTTTGTTGACCCACTTGCATCAGGGTCCTGACGTAGATGGTCCCCAGATTCAGTGATTGACGAGGCTTTAGAATCTGCAATTCGTTTCGTGAAACATTACTTACAGTGATATTTGGCAACGACCTTTGGCAAGCGACATCCAAGTTGCCTGAGGGACTATTAGAGGTTGGAAAGAGGGGCAAATGGAGAGAGCTGGGTGCTGAAGACAAAGAATTAAACAAAGTTTGGAAAATCTGATCAGTGGCCCACTTATCACTGCCTACCCCGCTTGATGCAATGGACAGCGCGGTCCCGATTATCCTGCGCGACGACCGATGCAGTATGCAATTATTTTTATTTTGTGTATGCATTGGAGTTTGACGGACGGGTACTGCTAGGTACTGCTAAGCAGGAGAACGATTAGGGTTCTCGTCGATGGGGCATCAAGGTGTACTGCACACCTTGAACGTTTGACCTCGTCCGAAGGGCGTAAGATCCGATGAACTGGAAACTGACCCCCGATGACATCGGACTCTGAGCTCCGTTCTGCTGTCTTGCAGGTCAGGCTTTCTAGCCAAAGGCATCGGATGAGGACCCCGAGGTTATCCCCCTTCTTCGGTCAGGGGAACCGGGAAGTAACATGTCCACATTATATATTTCAAAATTTTTCGTTCTCACAAACTATGCGCTCTTTGACCGAGGTGTTGGCGGTCAGCTCCACAGAGTTTCATGTTACCACACCAACAGGTCATTCTTTCCTTTCCTCAATTGTTGAACTTTCCTATTCTCGGTTTACCACCCATTATTTCAAGTCTCCAACAGTGTGCGGTTCAAGACAACGGCAAGGATTATTGTCTTGTGCCCATGTGAAAGAAACAAGCATCCGCTCAGGTTATTCCGAAAACAGCACTCGCGCCCCGGTCGCAGCTGCAGTTAGCGACTTTCAAAGTCTGAACGTTTATGCAAGTTGGGGCTTAGGTAACACTCGCTCGCAAACTAGAAACGCTTGCCATGGACGTTGGCTGCCTTACTGAGACACACCTACAGGATTTGAGCACCGTACTGCAATTCGCTTCACCGTCACCGGATTCTGCAAGCTCATTCACCATCCGCCTCTCCGGAGATCCGATGGCAGAGGCCGCTGGTCAGGCCGTACATACATTTACCACCGGCTTGAGAACAAGCATGGTGCCAACGCTACAACAATATTAACAATAACAATAACGCGGGGGGGGGCTAGGATACAGAGTATAGGGAAAGACGTAACTGTCAGAATTGAAGATTACGAATAAACGGAATAACAAACTTTTTTATGTTTCACCGTGCACTTTTAGAAAATTTTTGTTGTCTTTACGGGGCACGGGATTCCGACAGGCATGCCGCACAGCATTCGCGCCACTGACTTCTATTATGGGCCATATCTCT